GCCGGGTTGGCCGGGCAGATAGACAGGGTGCTGCTGCTGGCCGCGACTCCTGGCGGATGCGGCGGGGGGCAGCAGAGACTGGGCGGCGGCGCCCAGATAGCAGAGAGATAGCAGGGTGTTGGCTGCCCCAGGACGGCAGGTGGGGCGGAACGCAGATGCGGGATGCAGGGATAGATGATGGGGAGATAGACAAGAGGCAAGAGACGGAGCAGAAGAGACAATGAACGTGAACAAGCGTAGCCGGGTTCGAGCAGAATGGTCTCCGGAGACGCGGCCGGCGAAGATCAGGCCCAATAAGTGCGTGGCCACGCGGGCGCGGGGCGTGCTTGTTACTGTGTGAGCGCGCGCGGGAGTGGGAGTGGGAGTGGGAGTGGGAGCACGGCGAGGCTGCGTGACAGGCATGCGAGCGAGCGAGCAAGCAAGCAAGCAGAGGAGATGCCGGCGGGAGGGTTCGGAGGGCAAAAGATAGAACGAAGGGAGAGGCGCGAAGAGAGGACTGAATGGCGATGCGAGATAACGGGCTGGGGCGCACAGCAGCGGCGCGAAGGGAGGGGGTGGGATCTTCGAGGCGGATACGGATTCGGGAAGGAGATAACAGACACGTAAGGGAAGAGATGGGAAGAGGGAAGCTGATGCTGCGCTGTCAGTAGGCAACTGTGTTGCGATCCTGAACGAGGGTGGGTGCACCACCTTGGCGCGGGGGCGCGATTGGACGGGCGAGTGTAATAAGACTAGTCATCATAGTGCTGCTCGTCGCAGGCTAGAGACCGGGCGGTGGGAACGGAAACAGTCTGGCGGATGGATGTGCGGGCGGAACGTCGGAGGGAGCAGTAGGACCGGGCGAAATTGGGTTGGGATAGATTTGTGGTGTCGTTGGGGAGATCGAGACGCGGGCGCGAGGCAAGGCGAGGCGGTGCGATGCGCGCTGGGCTGATCTGAGGGCGCCTCATCTCGTCGTCGGGTATCGGGCCTGGGCAAGTGAATGGGATGGAGGATGCGATAGGAAATGATGGAGCAAGGGCGAGAACGTGGTGATTGGGCTCGCGAGTGGAGCTCGTCTGTTCGAATAGGAAGCAGTGGAAGAAAAAAACTCCCGCAAGCGCAAGCTGGGGCTCGGGAGACCAACGAGGAGACGGTGGAGGCGACAGTGGAGGAGGCCAGATGCCGTGGCAAGAACGTGTGACCCATCGCGCCGCGCGGGGCGGGGCGGGACCGAGCAGGCGGGCGCAGGCAGGGGCGGGCGGCCTGAAAAGGAAAGGTGATAAGCGGGGCACGTGAGAGATGCCATATATGGGATATCGAATAATGACGTCGGAAATGGGATAAGGGGCTGCAAAAGAATCAAAACTGGAGCCGCCACTCGCTCGTCCTCCCTCCCCCAAGCCCAAGTCCCTGTCGCCGCCCCCCTCTCCCCTCCTCCCGACGCCGGCTTGTCTCATCTTGCCTCGTCCCGCCATCTCCCTCGTCGCAGCCACCCCCGCCCCGCTTGACCCCGTCACCTGAGCCTGCGCAACGGTTGAACTCCCCGCCCCTCACGACCCCGCCCTCGCAATGCCTTATGCCGTCCCCGCTCAGCACAGTCCCCCCTCGACGACCGTCACGACCACTTCACCGCGCACAGCCCACCGCCGCACCCGTTCGGCGGGCAACTTTTCTGACGAACGCGGTCCCGGAGCCTTTACCTCCCTCGGCACGCTCCCCCGCTCCCACAAAAAAGCCGTCTTCCACATCGACCTCAACGACGACGACTCCCCTCCGGAGGATTCTGTCCGCAACCATGCTCCCCCTCCCCGCCCAGCTTCCTCTCACAGCCCCTCTTACACCCACTCCCCGACAAACTCACTCCGCTTGTCCATGAACTCTGGCAAGTTTTCTCCGTCCATCAACCCTCCTCCGCACATCGATATTCCTCCGTTTTCCCCTGCCTCCGTGCCCTTCCCCACCACGTCGCCTCTCTCGCCCACCGACTCTGCCTCTCCGTTTTTCGCCTCTCGTGCCGGTTCATCCCGCCCGTCCTCGCTTACCATCTCCATCCCTCGCACCCCCAGTACCCCCATCATCCTCTCCAATGGCAAGCCCCTCAAACCATCACTCAAGTCCTCCAACTCGTCCCCCAACATCCCCGATGCCCTTACCCGCGCGGGCACAAAACATCTCCGCGCGCAATCTGCCCCCAGCACCCCAGCAGGCCCCAAGAACGTCCACTTTGCCGAGAAGGACCAGGGCCTCGAGACCGTCCGCGTCTTCAGCCGCTCTGGCAAGCCCGCCAGTCTTTCGAAGCCCCCAGGAGACGAGACCGAGACCGAGACGGAGGTAGAAGTCAACGGCAACGCGCTCGGCCTCGCAGGCCAGAACGCGTATCCGTTCCCGAGCCTTACAGCGTCCGCAGCCGGTGAGCTGCCGCTTTACGAGATCGACGCGAGCCCGGAGCGCACGAGTTCCGTGCCTGTATCCAACCCGTCCCCCTACGCCAACGTGCACCTCGAGACGCTCGCTCTGCCGCGGACGCGCCCGCCTGCGCTGCGCGGGACGGTCCTCGTGCGGAACATCGCGTTCGAGAAGCGCGTCGCCGTGCGCTTCACCCTGGATGAGTGGCAGACCACGAGCGAGGTGTCGTGCCGGCATGTGGTGAGCCTCCCGAGTCTGCCGCCGCCGTTCCCGCACGCGAAGACGGTGGGTGACCTGGCGGGGAGCATCGCGAATGGGGAAGGTGCGGCGAAGGAGGAAGAGGGAAGGCCGAGCTGGGACCGATTCAGGTGAGTGTCGCGCGCGGATGCGCGGGTGCCCGACGGTGGCTCATGTGATTTTCCATCTTGCAGCTTCACGATCCGCCTCGAGGACTATGAGCACAAGCTCGCGGAGCGCACGCTGTTCATGGTCGTGCGCTACTCACCCGGAACTGGCGGTGAGTGGTGGGACAACAACGGCGGGAGCAACTTCCGCGTTGGGTTCCGCCGCGCGCCGGCCTCGCCCAAGGGACATTCGCTTAACATGGCTGGTATGGGGATGGGGATGGGCGTGGGTTTTGGGCATTCGCAGCAGCGGACGTTTAGCGCGCCGAGCACGCTGAAGACGACGCCCATGACTGCCACCGTCGTTGGTGACCGCGTTGATGTTACCGGCGCAGAGGCTGCGGCAGTAGCATCTGCTGCTGTGGAGGCGGATAAGGAAAAGACGAAGAACCGAGTGTATGCAGCCCCCCTGCTCCGTTCGTTTTCGTCGCCGCTCCCGTCCTCTCCCCCTACTGCGTCGACATCGGGCTCGAGGTATTCGAGTGGCAGGACCGAGAGCTCGAGCCTCCCGACGAGCCCTGCGCAGGCCTTCATCTCGAAACGGCTCAGCTTGTCGAACTATGTCGCCCCGGGTATGGTCAACTCGTCTTCGATGATGACCCCTCCAACGACACCGCCGAACGGAGGAAGCGGGCGATCGAGGAGCTCGAGCTTGCCGGGTGGAGCGGGGATGAGCTCTGATGCATCTGGAGAGTCGTCCGTCTCGCCGGACGCGCTGGGTGACAAGGAAGTTGAGCAAGTGGCTGAGGAAGGGCACGACGATGAGAGTTACGAAAGAGAGGACGCATACAAGGGCTCCGACGGAGCTTCCTTCCCCGGTTCGTATATTTCCCCGCCTGCTGCGACCATCAGCGGGCAGCCGGCGGCGGGTTCTCTCGCATCGTCGCAAGCGCTGGAGCCGCTCGACTTCAAGCTGCCGTGGGCGGGCATGAGTGGGTTCGGCGCAGACATGGGGCTCGGGTTCGAGCTCCCCAGCGCGGCGCAGGAACAGCTTTTGAGTCCCCCGAGCTCCCCTGTGGGTTCTCAGCAAGCTCTCGACAGCGGTGACAGGAGGAACGGAAGCGAAGGCCAGGATGACGGTGATGCCCAGCGCCGCCTCGCAGAGTCCTCTCACTCGTCGTCGTCATCGTCTATCGCATCCGCGGACGGTATGTCGTACTCTGTGGGCACGAGCGGAAGCCCTGGGGCGTCGTTCCGCGAACGCGACTCCAACTATGCGGCGCTCATCCGCCAGTGGTGTTTCTCGGGCTCGCCATCGGGGTCGTCTGTGGGATCTTCTTCTGCTGTGACGGGGGCGCCGTTTGCGGGTGGCGTCCCAGCTGCGTTCAGTGCTAGTCCGCCGGGAAAAGCTGCGCGGGCGTATGGCCCGGCTGGCTATGGGTTCCCGGGGTTTGGGTTTGGGATGGTTGACGCGGGGATGGTTGGAGGTGAGTTAGCGTTCCTTGTCGTCCTTATGCCGTTTTATGTCTGTGAGCGGTCTGTCTGCGTACGGGGACGGGGACGGGGGTTACATACTCGCGTGGTGCGCTTTTACGCCTCATCTCCCCCTCGCTGCCGCTCGCTTGTTTGCTCGTTCGTTCGTTTGCGCTTGCTTCAGACGTCATTGACGTGCGGCTTCGCGATGACGACTGGTTGGCGGTTAGTGCGAATCTGGGGTGCTGCGAATGCGCTCACTTTCATTCGTTCTTGCGTGGTCTCTGTGCGGGGTAAAATGGCTGGGATCAGTGCTGATTATATTCCCTCTGTTGCAGCTCATATGCGATGAACGCCTCGCTATCACGTACGCCTCGGAATTTCCCTATTCTTCCCAACGACCCGTACCCGTATGCACTCCTACACTTTCCTTATTCATAACTCTTGAACGACACATGCAACCCATTTCGAATCGCTCTCGCGCCCTACGTGAGAGGCGTCGCAAGATCCGTTGCGGCCCAAGGCGCATACGCGCTCGTCATCTGACTGTTGGGGGCGGAAGCGCCTTGACCGTCGGCCTCTTTCTGCCCATTTTGACTCTGGTGCTATTTCTCGGTTTACGTTGCTCGCTACGCTGCGCGATGGGAAGACGTAAGGCCGGACGGACCTTGCGACATGTGATGACAGGCGCTGTATGGTCGAGAGACCGCTGGCGTCGCAACGACAAACCAAAAGCATTTATATGCATCCGCTAGACAAGGCCGTTCGTGCTCTGTCGCATTCTCCATCATGCCGTCGCGGCGCATCGTCGACCGTCGTGTTCAGTCTCGTTTCGTTTCTCATCATCACCATGGACTCGACCTATCTATTGCTATCTGCCGCCATCTGTTCACCCTCCAAGACCGACACCACCGTCTCAGAATCTGCGGTATACCCCATCCTCGCTCTCGGTTGACTAGTGGGTCAGGAGATGGACGGCCGTGCTCACACACGCCCCGTGTTGGCGTCCGTTTCTGCCTGGCTTATTGCGCAATCACTCCACGCTCCTTTTGTTGATCTGTTGCCGTGAGTGTTGTACAATAGTGTGTACCATTAGCGTCTTTTGGCTTTGTTCTTTGGTTCCCCGTCCTCATCTGGTTTTCCTCTCCCCCCGTCGTCCGCCTTCCCTCATACATACGCGCATTGGTTCCGCCCCCCCCCTTCCCGCATTCTGCATATGTCGCCCGCAATTCCCCTGCCCTCCTCTACTCCGCATTTCGTTTCCGTTTCCGTTTCCGTTTCCGTTTCTCTATACTGGTCGTATACATTCCTCGGTTTATCATTTATTATCGGACAAGAGAGCTCGTGATGATGACCGGCCATACTGTACATATCGCACAGCACCTGAGTCTGCACGCTGCTATCCCTTCCCCACACACGCACATAGAACCGCTCGAGCCTTGGTAGACAGTAATAGATGATGATGCGAGAAGCACGCTGTCGGACCCTGTGTGCGCGCGCTGTGCCTCATCACGTCGCGGTAAGGGTAAGTATAAATGATTTTGCAATGCACCCGTCACCGCCTTCACACCCCGCGCGCCTGGGGCGCCGGGAGGACGGTCTGGTGAGCGGGGGAGTGGGGCCGCGTGATGCGGGCAATCACTGCAATCAGACGTGCGTGCTCACGCGTATGGTCGACGACGACCGCCAGGCGCGGGGATGGGGGTGGGGGCGAGGATGCAGACGCGCGCAGGGTGGGCCGGTGACCTGCTCTTGCTCCTGCTCCTGCTACTGCCACTGCCACTGCCACTGCTACTGCTCAGGCGCCCCCGGCCAGTCGCCCCCCTCCCCTCGCACCGTGGCCGCTTGGAACCTGCAGACGCGGCCGGGCGTGTGTCGCTGCCCC